GCTTCCATTATGCAATACCTAATTGGTATTACAATTCGCTGTGTAAATTCATATGGTGTGGGATATGTGGGCTATAATGCCTTACAAGATTATCCTATAAATCATACATTTAGAACAAAAAAGGGAAATTAAGAAAAGAATGAATGCATTGAAAGTGCTCTCTACTTGACATGGGCATTGTTTGATTGTTTGTTATTTTTGTACTAATTTAATTACAGGACTTGAAGGTAATTGTATTAAAGTGGAAGGCACTTCCTGTATTTTATTTTTCTTAATTTCATGTCAATGCCTCATCTGTAATGCTAGTCTGATTTTTTAATATACATGATGCTTTTTGAGCATTGCGTGGTAATGGGTGGTCCTCTTGCTCATCTTTTTTATAAACTAGTTTTTTAAAAATGGAATATGTAGTAAGCTAACAGCTTTTTAGACATTTTATAAAAAGTGATATGCAAATAGTTGCATAAAGGAAACCCAGCTGAAAATTTTTATTTTATATATTTATTCTGCCATACATACCCTTACTACTTATATTACATCATTTTAACCATTTAATGATGGTGTGAAGCTAATAGTCTGAATACTCCTTTTAAACTGCAAATGCTGCTTCATAAGGTTCCAATTATTCTTGGTGTGTTTGGTGCAAAGTTGAAATTACTCAAAAAGTTTCTTTGTCAAGGAAAGCACTTTAGGAATTTGCTGTATATTATTTTTTTTTTTTAGGTACAGCCTTTATTTATTGCAGGCTAGCACATTTGCCCCATAAACTTAGTCAGCAAAAGACAAGAAGTAAATTTTTTATAAATGTGATAAAGTGTGATATTCATATGTGCCTAGAGAGTTGCAGTAGCCTGAAATTGTAGGTATAAAAATTAAATTGTATGTACATCATTTTAGGCCCAGCTGGGCCTAACCATGATCCTCAATATAAATTACTCTCGAATGTAATTTAATCAATGGTTATTTCAGGTAATTTTCTTTTTGGATTTGATATTGTTTTTGATACTGAAACTTCAGATCAGTATGGTAACATTCTGCCCCAGTATTTATCACTTATGCTGACGAACCTTATAATGAATTAGATTTAATCTTATCTTCATATTATGTCATCACTATGGATATATTCATTCATATATCATTATCATCCATGAAACTCATGAGTTCTTCTTTTACCTGACATCGTATTTCTCATGACAATGTACTTCAAGTGATTTTACTTGAAGTATATTGGAACTATAGTCAATTTGTAAGTATTTTTATGAAATAAATCAGTAAGTTTTTGTGAACACAGTGTTTAATATAATCCCATTTTGTCATTCCTACATAATACAACAATGAATAAAAAGGGAATTACAAAACAGAGACACGGCAGGACAAAACAGTGAGTTAGACGAAACAAAAAAACTGCACTTAAATCAATAAAATCAATTGAGATCTGAGAAATACAGTCTGTTAAATGAAGAACTCATAGGTCTTTTAAATGATAATGATATATGAGTGAGTATATCCATGGTTAATTAATTATAAGTTTTTTCAGGACTAGTAATAAATATTGGAGCAGGTCATTACAAATACTACAAAATGCAAAAAATGTGAATCTCAGGAAAAAATAAAACTGATTTTTAACATTTGTGTCAAATGAATGTTTACAGAATATGTATTATCATTTGAATAAACTGTCTTTAAGTATTTGTGTAACTCAAAGAAAGACTAAAAATTTTCTTTCATGTACAATTTAAACAGTCATAATGTTGAGCAGGGTATAATATTCATAAATATACATTTCTACATACGAGCTTGTAACCATATGCCAAAAAACAGAAGTTTATAGCACACCATATCACTGAATGCATGCTATTCTTCTTTCTTCTTTTATAGGGTTTTAGACGTATGAATGCATACTATACCTTAACCTGGAGAAATTAGCTCAGAATCCAAAGATTACCCATCAAAAATCGTTACCCAAAGAAATTAGCTCTTTATTTATCTTTTATATGGGAGGTCATCCATAATTTGAGGAGAGAAGCTCTCAGAAAATATATAAAAACTGTAGGATATGTGACGAATTAGAGCTGTGATTGCGATAGTTTTTAGCACCGATATTGAGAGGGCTAGACTAGAATGAGGAAAGGGAGTAGCAAGGTATTTTTCCAATTTGTATAATATTGCGTGAGTGGAAATATGTGTTAAGTGTTTTGAATTATATGTTTCAAGCAATTACTGAAATATTGTAAGATTTCCTGTCAGAAAAGAATTGTAACTCATATTTAATGTTTGTGTTATCATGTTCATTGTCTTAAATTGCAATATAAGAATTAGTAAATTTTTTGTTGCACTTCAGTAAGGTAATGAAAATGAAGTTTTCATAATGAATGATTATTTCATTTAAGTATTGTATTGAAATATCATATTGGGGTCACCCTATGACAATATATTGCTTTTATATTTTATCGAATGTATTCTTTTTTGTACAAAAATAAATAGCAATATGAAGACAATACTTCTGTTATTTTTTTTACACTTTACATATAAAAAATAAGCCTGAAATGAAGAAAAAGAAAATAAAGATTTGTCAGTTCAACTGTGGAGTTTCTAACATGATACAAAATGGTTAAGACTATGACAAAAAAAGGAAAGGGAAAGATAAATTCTAAAGAGCATTTGTAATTTTTACATGGAAGAGAAAATTACTTCATTAGGAAATGAAAGAAGGTAGTCTCTCTCTCTCTCTCTCTCTCTCTCTCTCTCTCTCTCTCTCTCTCTCTCTCTCTCTCTCTCTCTCTCTCTCTCTCTCTCTCTCTCTCATTAGGGCTTATCCTCTTGGGGATTGCCCAGAGAAAGATAAATTCTATAAATTCATCTCTCGTTTACACATGGGTACCAAGAAAGTGAGTGAGTTAGTGAGTGAATGTATGAATGAAAGAATAAATGAATGAGTGAATGAGAGGATAAGCAAGCAAGTGAGAGAGTGAGCGAGTGGTGACTTACTGAATTTATGAATAAGTGAGTGTTTTACCGAGTGAGAGAATGAATGGATAGATGAATAAGTGAGTGAGTTAATTAATGAATGAGTGGGTGAATAAGTGAATGAAAGAATGGGCGAATGAATTAATGCATGAATGAATTACGAGTGAATGAGTTGTGAGTGAGTGAGTGAGTGAATGAGCTAGTGAGTGAGTGAGTGAGTGTGTGAGCTGGTGAGTGAGTGGGTGAATGAGCTAGTGAGTGAGTGAGTGAGTGAAGGATAGTGTGTGTGTGTGTGTGTGTGTGTGTGTGTGTGTGTGTGTGTGTGTGTGTGTGTGTGTGTGTGTGTGTGTGTGTGTGTGTGTGTGTGTGTGTGTGTGTGTGTGTGTGTGTGTGTGTGACAAAAAGCAGCGAGCTTTTTTGTTACGGAGAAGTTTGACAGAACCTGGGACCGGCTGACCCAGCTTGGACTAAGGTCAAGGTTATATTGTGACCCACCCATAGTCGACAGTGGTGTGTGAGAAGAGAGAGAGAGAGAGAGAGAAGAGAGAGAGAGAGAGAGAGAGAGAGAGAGAGAAGAGAGAGAGAGAGAGAGAGAGAGAGAGAGAGAGAGAGAGAGAGAGAGAGAGAAGAGAGAGAGAGAGAGAGAGAGAGAGAGAAGAGAAGAGAGAGAGAAAGACAGAGAGAAGAGACAGAGGAGATAGAGGAGAGACAGAAAAAAGACAGAGAAAATAGCGTTAAGGTATTATTGCAAACGAATAGTATTCCTATTGATAATAATACTGATGATATTGGCAGCAGCAATAATATCATTGTTATCATTACCTTCATTTGTAATTATTATAATGAAAATGATAATGATAGGGATGAATAAAAAGCAACAGCAATACAAGAGCGGCAAAAGTTATAATAATGATGATGATAATGATAGTGATTATGATAGAAAATGATGATTATAATGATAATATCAACAATGATATTTATCATCATTATCAATATCTTTACCGTGATGATAATGATAATAGATAAAATAATGATATTAATGATAATATTGATCATGATGATAATAGTAGTTATGGCAACAACAACAATCATAATGACAATAATAGCAATAATGATAACGGCAACAACAATAAAAAAAAAAAATCAATGACAATAATGACACGAATCATAAAAATGATAATCTAATAACGACGAAGAATAAAAAAATAATGATCGTTTCCCTCTCCCTTGGCGAACGAAAACAAATGCAACATCCTTGCGTCCGGTTTCCTGTTCCGTGTCGTTACTTTCCAGAATTGTTCGTTTTTTTCGGTTTTGGTTTTCAGGAAGTTTTATGGAGGATGCAATGGCTAATTAGTTTTCTCTGCGTTTCTCTCTTTTTGGATATCTATTAATCAGTGTCTGTATAAGACTATCCAATCATTTTATCTATCTATATGCTTATATATATACCTAGAATCAAAGACATGTACACACACACACACACACATAACACACACACACAGATATATATATAATGTAATATTATATATATATAATATATATATATATATATATACATATATACATATATGTATGTATGTATATTATGTATGTATAATGTATGCAAATTGTATACAAAATACATATCATACATATACACATAACATAATATTCAATATATATATATACATATATATATTTATATATGTATATACATATATATGTACACCACACACGCGCGGGGAGCGCGCATGTACACTCACACACATGTACCACACACACACAACACACACGACACACACACACCACATGCAACACACACACACACACACACACACAGCACACACAACACACACACACACACACACACACAATCACACACACACACGGACACACGCTGCACACAACACCACACACACACAACCACACACACACACACACACACACACACACACACACAGTCACCACCACATACACCTACATATTTATATATATATATATAATAATATATATAAATATATAATAGTATACAAATGTATGTATATATGTATTTTGGTATATATATAAATATATTAATATATCATATATATACATTACAATATATATTGATATACCATCACCATCAGCCGTGTTTTGTTTTCAGTCTTGGCCCCAAATTTCGTTAGTTCGTCACGTCATCTTGTGACTGGTCTGATCCTTGGCCTCTTCGTGTTATCTATATCCCAGTCTGTTACTTTCATTGTCCATTTGGTCTTCTATCTCTGATTTATCTCTCTCTCTCTCTCCTGCCATTCTTTCCTTCGGCTACAGTCTCCCTCACTCATGTTCTTATTCTTCCTCACACCGTTTTTCTCCTTGCCTTTTACCGTATCTATTCCTCACCTCACTATCTCGCGCTTTTTGATATCTCTCCCTTTCTTCTTTTTAACACTTTTTTTTATTCCTTACTTCCCGCTTTCTTCCCTAATTTTACCTCTGTCACGTTTCTCCCGTCTCTCTCCCTCCCTTCTCTTTTCTTTCTCTCATACCTCTCTCTCCCTCTCTATCCTTCTCACATCTCTCTCTGGCTCGCCTTTCACTCCTCTCTCCTTCTCTATCCTTCTCACACCTCTCCTGGCTCGCCTTTCACTCCTTTCTCCTCTTATCCTTCTCACACCTTTCCATGGCTCTCTCCTTTAGTCCTCTCTCCCCTCTCTATCCTTTCAACACCCTCTCCATGGCCTTCACCTTTTTAGTTCCTCTCCCCTCTCCATTGTTTATACCTCCCTATTCCTCACTTCGTCCACGTAATCTGCCACTTCTACCTATCACTATATCATTATCTCTCTCGTCCTTCTCGGTCTACCTCCCCCTCTCTCTATCTTTGTTTATGAAAGTGACCTGTTGATAAAAACCGTCCAACTGTGTCCGGATGACAAAATGCTCTGGGGATTCAACAACCTGAGTGTGGAAAACCCTATATTCTTACTTAACTAAAATTCTTACGAAACCATTCACAAAGGATGAGGGAGAAGAGGGGGGTGAGTGAGTGGGTGAGAGAGAGAGAGAGAGAGAGAAGAGAGAGAGAGAGAGAGAGAGAGAGAGAGAGAGAGAGAGAGAGAGAGAGAGAGAGAGAAGAGAGAGAAGAGAGAGAGTGAGTGTGAAAGATAGATAGATAGATGGATAGATAGATAGAGAGATTGAGAAAGAAAGAAATAGACAGATAGATAGAGAGAATGCTGGGATTTCATGCTGTTGAAGTAATCTTAACTTATTCAGTTCTGACTTATAAAAAGCATTCTCGTTTGCCTCCTTTTGGGAATGTTTCAATATGACTGCTCTTTTTGGAATGTTATCCTAATAGTTTTTTTTTCTTACAGATGCTATCAATGAGATAATATCACATATATTCCTATCATTACCGATAGTAGTTATTACTATTCAGCTATCCTTGCTACTGGTTAAATACTACCATACTGTCTTCTATACCATATTACACATGACAATTACCTTTTTATATATGTAGTAAGCTCCATGCACCTACGACCATGGGTTAATGTTGTCAAATCATAACCCTTAGTGCATCTATCATTATATATGTAGTTGTCATTACAGTGTTGATGAGAATAAAGAAAACCACAAAGATGGTGTTTTGGACATAAATTTTGTGTTGATTTGTTAAACCTGTGAGGTTAGGCCCAATATTCATTTTACGGACATATACATAGAAATAAATGTCTATCTATCGGTCTAGATATGCATATCTACCAGGCAGATAGATAGAAAAGAGTATATCTATCAGTAAAAAAAATAAGTAGAAAAGTGAGAATATATTCACAATACAAGAGATGTATTTGACCGGTTTCATGTATTTCTGACGAAGACGTAATCGAAACCGGTCAAATACATCTCTTGTATTGCGAAGATATCCAGTCTCATTCATACCTTTTCTACATCTGTCAACAGGGATACGGTTCATATCTATCAGATAGACAGATATGTATATATTTCTGTGTATAGGCATGTGTATAATCCTTGGATCGGGATTCGAACAATTTTAACAAAGTGGCCCATAGGAAATACCAGGAATAAATACCATTCAACGTGAGGAATTATGAAGAGAGAAATTCCACACCAAGATTAGTGAGGGACTGCTAGCGCGCATCTTTTCATTAAGTCACAATAAATAGCAATAAAGTGTAGATTTTTTTTTTATTGTATACTTACGACACAGCGCGTGCGTTTGTTCGTGAAAATTTGCACTTAACATTCCTTTTCTCTCCATATTTCCAGTGACATTTCCTTGTGTTTCCTATTTTGCTTTTTTTCGCTCAAGCTATTGTCATTCTATACACGGAATCACTTCTGTTAAGCGATTACAGACATTGACCTAATTTTATGCGTTGCTGCTGAGAACCAGATATAACAATTGTGTACCGGAAACGACAAAGATTTGAAGTTTATCTTTACAAATGTACCATACATCCCTTCGGTAATAAATGGAAAGAGAGAGAGAGAGATAAGAGAGAGAGAGAGAGGGAGAGAGAGAGAGAGAGAGAGAGAGAGGGAGAG